TAGAACCGCATTTCTGCTGCCTTAAGTCTCGTTTTTATCTGTGATGGGATTGTCCAGCATTCGCTGCCATATAGATATCCAATAGTCTTTTCTTTGTTTCTAACTATATCTTCCTGTTTCTTAATGCATCGCTTAGCTTTTGGAAGGCATTTTTCGTTCTTTTAAGACGTATTTAGATTTCGGTGTTGCAAATTTTCATCTTATGTTCATTGATTTTGTTTAGCAGCATATCAACCTCTATGAGTTATTTTAATCCAGATATTTTGCAGATAATTTTATACTTTTAGAGTAAAGGCATGTTTTAGAGATCTAATTAGTAGATCATGAAATGTATTCTTGGTAATTTTGATATAAAAATGTATTGTTGCTCATTTTATTATAAAAATGTATTTGTTGGTAATTTTGATATAAAAATGTATTTTTACATTTTTTTTAGCGTTGCATTGTCATTTTGCTATAAAAATGTATTGTTGCTCATTTTATTATAAAAATGTATTCGTTGGTCATTTTTATATAAAAGTGTATTGTTGGTCATTTTATTATAAAAATGTACTGTTAATTTTTGTTTAGAGGTTCATTATGTGCCCATATTGGGGACAGGTGCTACCACCCCGGGTCATGTGGACCTGTGAACAGTAGCAGTTAAGAGGCGGTTCTACGCTCTTCAAAACTTCCAATTTTCCGATCGGAGGGCCTTCCTGCTGGGTGTCGTTTATCGTCATACAATTGATAGCTAGTCCTTTCCAGAAGAAGACCTGTAGTTTACTTCCGTGTCTGCTATAAATACAGTGTCAATTGCATATCTTAGATTATGGTCGCCAATGAATCCTGGTAGGATGTCTAATTCTAATTCTCTCAGAATCGTCTCACTGCGTTAGTTGAGTAAGTCCGGTGAGAAGACATCTTTGTTTTACGCGCCTTTATTTTTCTACACGTATCCGGCTTGCTTCCAATATAAGTTCCCCATTGTTCTAATGTTCTTCGCAACTAAATCAAGCCTTCAATATCTGTCTATATTTCTGAGATGACCTGTACACTATTTACATTGTTCGGACTATCGTCCTCATCTTTGTTGCCATATTTATCACAACGTTTCGGCCGTTGTACGCTCTGGCCTTCTTCAGGTGGTTGGAATGTCGAACTGAACCCTTTATTTTGCTCACTAGAATAGTTGCTGAAGACATTAGGTTTATAAGTCTCAGAAATTCATACACAGATGTCCTCAAGGACACATGGCACAGTGGATAAAGGCGTTAGTTAGATCCAGTGACAGGACTCAAAGAGTGTCAGTTCAATAAGGCAGTGGAGAACTTGGAGATGAGAATTAACAGGAGATAACTGGCTAGAACAGTCTATCCCAGCGAGCGAAATAAAGGTTTCAGTCTGACATTCCAACCACCTGAATAAGGCCAAAACGTTGTGATAAGTATGGCAACAATGATGAGGACGATTGCCTGAACAATGTAAATAGTGTAAATCAAGCCTACCTTGCAGTTCAACTTGACAAAGTTAACTACGAAGCTTAAAAGAAAAAAAATACTTAGAATTTATCATATACATTCTGTGCAATAGAAAACTTTTTGATCTCATTTTTGAGCTCGAAACTAGATTAGACTAGGTCGACTGGTGGGACGCTACTTCAATAATCTAATCAAGTTAGTCTTTTCTGGAAAAGGCATTTTGATAAAGAAATCAACGAGAAAAAATGAATAGAATGTATTCAGACGAAAGGTCATTGAAACGGTCATATTCCACGAATTTCCTACGATTAACATATGATTGAACAATTTAAGTGTCCTTAATGATTTATTACTGAAGCATTATGGGATATATAAACTATAAGTAATTATATAAACAAATAAAAAATGAGTTCAAGTTATACTCAAATTTCTATATACTGTTAAAGCACATACACACACATTATATATATATATATATATATATATATATATAAAAAAAACACACAAATATAGTTTTAAAGTGTGCTATATTTATGGGATAAAGTGCTCAATATCAGAGATAGAGCGTATGTAGATATAAATATAAAAGTGAACATTGAAGCCAACACTCAGAGGCGACAGGCTGTTTCATGCTAGACGCAATCAGAGATTAGAAATGTCGGGATATAACAAAAGAAAAATACGAAAAATTACGAATGATAGAAAGTTATATATATATATATATATATATATATATATATATGAAGAAATTTTGAAAAAACAAACAAAAATCCTTAAATGTAGTTAAATGAAAGAAATGTCGACGTCAGACGTTTCGGTTTTAATAAACCATTTTCAAGACAAAATTCATTAAAATACAAATTCAGTTCAATATGACGAAAACGATGGACATAAAAACACAAGTCTTATCCAAGAGTAAAACAGAAACGTCTGACGTCGACATTTCTTTCATTTAACTACATTTAAGGATTTTTGTTTGTTTTTTCAAAATTTCTTCATTCTGTCGGATTTATATCCATTTACACTTGCTTATATATATATATATATATATATATATATATATATATATATAAAATTCTACTCTCCCGTCGAATTCGACGTACGAGGGTCAAGCAGATCAGTTCCTAGGAACCGACAGCCCAACACCAACACATGAGATTTGATTATATTGGTGAAGCTTTTGTGCAGAACCATCCACACTTTTTGAAGGGCCGAATACAGTACGTACCACAGGGTCCCTAAACGACCCTCCGCAGGTTTTGAATTCAGAGTTTTCCTTCTCCTAGACCAGTTGCCATCCAAGGCTATAGAACCCCTATAGCTAGGGGGAGAAGAAGAGGATTCATACCTTTCCCAAGGGTATTAGTACGTAAGTGAATGTAATGGATTCGACTGGAATTCCTCAATCCGAGCCGCTATCCATTACATTTATATATATATATATATATATATATATATATATATATATAGTTTCAGCCGTTTAAGCTGAATCCGTTAAATGATGTCATTAAATAATTTAATGCCAGTATACTCAAGTTTATTTAAAAATCACCTGATTTAATTTGTGCAATTTTTTTTCAATGACATCATTGAATTCTTTGTCAGTCGGCATTATTCCTAAGCTATTCAGTTTCTCTCCACGCGTTGTAATTTTCTGAAACGTTTGATGTTTTGAGAAACTTCTCTCAGCAAACAGTTAAAACAATAATAACGCTAGTTATTTTTTATTACGTTTTTTTTTTAATTACTTTTATATTACTTTTACTTACTTTTTTTAATTAGTTTTTTTCTTTTTAATTGCTGCTTTATTTTTTTTTTCTTTTGAAATGTTTGCGGTCGGAATTATCACCCCGCTGGTTCCGCCTACATTAGGCCACTGGCAGCAGTCCTCAAATGCGCAACAACATTATTTAACCTGAAGCGTGAACTTACCTGAGCAAGTGATAGATTTTCAGTGTAAAAAAAAAAAAAATATAATAATAATAAAATCGATCGATTGCTAGAATCAGAAATATATCGATAGGGTGAGAAAGAAAGAAATATCGATCAGATAACCAATAGTTAAATAAATTGAGATATAAAAGAAAGTAAAAGATGCTCATGAAGAAATAAAAGAAAGAAAAGAAAGATAGGGACAGAAAAAAAAAAGAATTTTTGTTTGTGCAGCAGAGAAAGTGACCTTAGCGCATTCGTAGTTGCATTTATTAGAATTAGCTTAATTCCGTAGAGTGTCGAACAAAAGGGAAGAGTGTGTTGCGCCAGGCATTCTAGGTTTTTATTGTCTGAAAAATCAGTGTTCGTAATCCTGAATTTTAACTAAAACTGGTATGAAATACAAAGCTACCTTCGCCACTACTGACAGCGCTCATTTCTTTATTATTTAATCAGAGTTCGGTACAAGGCTATCATAACAAGGTACTCGATAGCATCCAGTAATAAATTTAGCCAAGACTAGTTTATCATATATATATATATATATATATTCTTTAGATACAGTTATATATATATATATATATATATCCTCAGCAGAATGCTGAAAGCACTGGACGGCCGTTTCGTCCTGTTTTGGGACTCATCAGCAGTGAGCATCCACTATCGAGATTCGAACTCTGACTGTTTCGATACAACGCAAGCGTCATACCAACTGTACCAACGACCTCGGTGACGAAGAGGAAACTGAATAGACTTTTCGGGAAAGTAAAGTCGTGGCTCTTGGGTCACAATCTGTTGGGTTATGAATACTTGGATGAGAATCATCCCGTAATTTCCGAGTAGCGGCACTATATCGAGTCATTTCATATTTACGGAGAAGCTTATTGGTGTCAGTATTAAAGAAAGAGAAAAAAAATTATGGTGTTGATGCATATTGTTTATTCCGATTACTTTCGACATTCGCATAATGTGATCCGCAGGATGTTGTTTATTTCAAGACAAATATGGTAGTGTTCATCATTTTCAAAGACAAAATTGCTGTGGTCATCTGAAAGTTATTTTTTTTTTTTTTTTTTACTTGTGAAGTGAAGAACGTTGAATTGAGTGCTGTGCGATTGGCTTGAGGGGAACTAACTAAGTTGGGAGGTTTTTTTTTTTTAAAAGAAATAACTATTAAAACTATTAGCACAAACATCGATATTTTAAACTACTGTAAACATTTGTGTAGTATTCATAATTAATGCTGCCAAAATATGCATAACATAACATTACATACATACATAACATAACATACATAACATACATACATAACATACATACATAACATAACATTACATACATACATACATAACATTACATACATAACATTACATACATAACATTACATACATAACATTACATACATACATAACATTACATACATACATACATAACATTACATACATACATACATAACATAACATTACATACATACATACATAACATTACATACATAACATAACATAACATAACATAACATTCATTATTTCTTCCTTTTATGTGCCGTGTCCCTTCAGAACGTGGAGTATCATGGCCCTCCATTATTTTGTATTTTTTTAGCTCTAAGTAATGTTTGTCTCATTACTATCCCCTCCCAATCCCTCTTCTGTCGTCCATTTTGAAAAGCTTGTTAAGTAGGTTAATCATGGCTCTCCACAACGTCCTATCATTTTTAGCTCTTATGAATTCATGTCCACTATCCTTCCCAGTCCATATTCCGCCATCCATTTACACAGCTCATTAAGTAGGTTGATCATGGCTCTCCACAACTTCCTAAACTTTTTAATTTTAAGTAATGTTTGACCCCTTACAATCTCTTCCATTTATGTTGTCATCCATTTATACAAGCTCGTTAGGTGGCTTGCTTACTATTCATTACTCTTCTTCATTAGCCGTCAACATGTCGCGTGAGTATCAAATTCTCTAGCCCCTCTTTCCTTATGCGTCCCAGAAATTTCGACTGCCTTTTTCATTACATTTTCCTTAAAACTTCCTCGTTGCACCGCCCATAATATCCTCAGCATCCTTCTGTAGAGCCACATCTGTTACTTCAAGTCTCCTCTTCATCTGCGAGGGTATGGTCTAACATTCATTGCCATGTACGAGGATAGATATTATCAGTTCAGCTCGCTTTTCTTTGTTTCTGAAGAAAATTTTCTTGCTTTTTATAATTTGTTTGGCTTTTGGAAGGCATCTTTTGCTATTCCGAAGCGCCTTCGGATATCAGTGCCACATTTCCGTTGTGTAAAACTCTTCCTAAATAAGTTTTTGTACTTGCTTAATTTTGAGGTCTCCAATTCTTAGCTATCATCTTGGACTGCCCGTCTCACAAGAAATTCTTTCCAACAACTTCCAATATTAGCGGTTTGGATTTTTTTCTATTTCCTGTTTGTCAGTTAATTTTTCTTTTCTTTATTTAATTGTCTGAAGTTTTTTTCACGTTTTTTTGTTAGGCTCGCAATTTTTTTCAGTGGTTCTTTCTTTCCAGATTTTTCTTTCGTTTTTTTACATTTTCCTTCTTTTTGTGTATTCCTGTTCATTCTTTCCAGGTTTTTCTTTTTTCAGGATTTTGTTTCTTTACAGCTTTATCCTGTTTTACCCTTCCTTCCTTCCTTTACAGCTTTATCCTTCTTTCCGTTTTACCCTTCCTTCCTTTACAGCTTTATCCTTCTTTCTGTTTTACCCTTCCTTCCTTCCTTCCGTCCTTTACAGCTTTATCCTTCTTTCCGTTTTACCCTTCCGTCCTTCCTTCCTTCTTTCCTTTACAGCTTTATCCTTCTTTCCGTTTTACCCTTCCTTCCTTCCTTCCTTTGGCTTTATCCTTCTTTCCGTTTTACCCTTCCTTCCTTCCTTCCTTTACAGCTTTATCCTTCTTTCCGTTTTACCCTTCCTTCCTTCCTTCCTTTACAGCTTTATCCTTCTTTCCGTTTTACCCTTCCTTCCTTCCTTCCTTCCTTTACCCTTCCGTCCTTCCTTCCTTTACAGCTTTACCCTTCTTTCCTTCCTTCCTTTACAGCTTTATCCTTCTTTCCTTCCTTCCTTCCTTCCTTTACAGCTTTATCCTTCTTTCTGTTTTACCCTTCCTTCCTTTACAGCTTTATCCTTCTTTCCGTTTTACCCTTCCTTCCTTTACAGCTTTATCCTTCTTTCCTTCCTTCCTTTACAGCTTTATCCTTCTTTCCTTCCTTCCTTCCTTTACAGCTTTATCCTTCTTTCCGTTTTACCCTTCCTTCCTTCACAGCTTTATCCTTCTTTCTGTTTTTCCGTTCTTTCTCTTCGGCCCTCCTCCCTCCCTTCCCGTTTTTCCCCTTCGTTCTTTCCAGCTTGTTTTTCTTTGTTTCTTTCCATTTCCCTCCTTTCTTTACAAGTTTATCTTTTTTCTTTCCAAGTTTATCTTTCTTTCCAGGTTTTTTTCTTTCTTTCTTTGTGTTTTCTTTTCTTATTTCTTTCTTTCTAAGTTTTTCTTTCCAGATTTTTATTTCTTTCCAGATTTTTCCAAATTTCTTTCTTTCCGATTTTCCATTCTTTTCGGTCTTCCCGTTTTCTCTTTCCTTGTTGTTGTAGTTTTTCTTTCCTTTCATGTTTTTCTTTTTTTTTTTTTTTGTCTTTACTGTTCTTTAACCTGCACATCTACCACAACGCCATTCACTTGTAATCAAAATGTACCCATTGAGACGGGACTGGGGGGGGGGGTAGAGAAAGCAATCATAGGGCCAACAACTTCACGATTGTCCCAATTCCCACGCTCTCAGCTGCAGAAAAACAGACGAAAAATACGAAACGAAACATTAAATAGTTTACAGAGACTCAAGGAAACCAATACGAATCACATACTTCGATGGTTTCGATTAAAACGCCTTATCACAGTAGAAGTGGTGGGAGTCGGAAACGTAGGAGGAGGGAAAGAGAGAGGGAGAAAAATAAAAGGCAAGGAGTAGAGAGAGAGAGAGAGAAAGGACGTTTGAATGGATTTGTGAATAAGTTGACTGACACATTGTAGTGCTTTTCTGACAAAAAAGGGGCGAAGTACTTACTAATAGCTTACATGAGACGAATACCCTGGATAATTTGGTTCATATCTATCTATTTAGGTCTATCCGTATCTAACAATTTATTTGTCTCTAAACGTATCTATCTCTCTCTATAAACATATATATGGATAAACGTACGTATATATATATATATATATATATATATAAACATATATATGGATAAACGTACGTATATATATATATATATATATATTATATATAAACATATATATGGATAAACGTACGTATATATATATATATATATATAAACATATATATATAAACGTATATATATATATAAACATATATATGATAAACGTATATATATATATATATATATATATAAACATATATATGGATAAACGTACGTAGATATATATATATAATACATATATATATATATATATATATAAACATATATATATATATAAACGTACGTATATATATATATATATATATATAAACGTACGTATATATATATATATATATGGATAAATATATATATATATATATATATATATATATATATAAACGTAAACGTATATATATATATATATATGGATAAACGTACGTATAATATATATATATGGATAAACGTATATATATATATATATATATATATATATATATATAAACGTACGTATACATATATATATATATATATATATACACACACATATATATGGATAAACCTACGTATATATATATATATATATATATATATATAAATAATTGATTTAAAATATGTTTTTTTTCCGCTACACAGTTCTAACCATGTTTCAAAAATAGAAGCTAAAAGCCCCGAATTTAATTTTGTAATTAAATTAAAGACATTAGTTCCATTTCATCTTCAAGCGAATTTTGGAGTAACTTTTAAAATCACTGGATTTTAAATACACAGCTAAAACAAAATTCATGTTTCCAAGGTTACAGGTAAATCTATTTTTCTAGACGGGGGTGTCTAGGTCTTCAATATGCCTATATTTTAATGTATCAGTTATTGCTACTTTTGGTTGTAGGTAGGGGATGTATTTTTCAATGAAAATCTAACTTCCGTTAAAAGCGTGTCGTCTGGATTTTTTTAAAAATTTATATTGTTAACGGCTAAAATTCATACGGCATTTTTTTTTCCTACGTATATTTAGCGATTTCTTTTGGGGGGTATTTAGGTAAGAATACTTTTTATTTAACTACGATTTGAAATATTTTTACTTTTAATTTTATTATACTATAATTCTTTCAAGAACAATTTAAATGTAGTTAGAAGCCTTTATATTTAACAAGAAATATTCATTTTATATACTGTAAGTAATTCTATTACATTTACTGTTTTTTCTTAAAAAAAAAAAAAAAAAAGTAATAATACATTTACTTTTAACGGAAGTTAGATTTCATTGAAAAATACACCCCCTATCTGTAAATTCGGGGCTTTTAGCTTCTATTTTTGAAACATCGTTAGAACTGCGTAGCGGAAAAAACATATTTTAAATCAATTAATTTATAATATTAATGCTCTGTAAATTTACATTTAGCACTATTATGTAAAAATAAAAATATCTGTAAGAACACCGGATTATATATCTTACTGTTCTTTCTTATATATATATATATATATATATATATATATATGGATAAACGTGTGTGTGTGTATATATATATATATATATATATATATATATATATATATACGTGTGTGTGTAATATATATATATATATATATATATATATAAACGTATATATATATATATCTATGGATAAACGTATATATATATATATATCTATGGATAAACGTATCTATTTATATCTACGGATATCCTACCTCTGCGCCTATCTACGGATGTCCAACTACCTAATAATCTTTCTAAATTTACTCATTTTCTATATTAGTATAACAATAATTACAAGTGTATGGAACCCAATGAGGATTGAACTCACCACACAAGATAATTACTCTGCGAGACGTACTTACTAATTATTTATCTATATGCGTATCTATATTTCTATTTTTTGGGTCTGCGCCATTGTCGTCGGCTTCCATTGATCTCGTCCATGTTCCTTTCTTAAAGCGGCTAATTACACCGACCCATAGACGATCATTTAGTCTATGCTACCAAGACAATTCTTTGTCGTAGGCTTTAGAGCAAATAGCCTGTTTAATAACCTGATGGATTTGGCATCTGCTCTCTACCACCTGCCTCGTTTTCATCAAAAGCAAAGAATATAGCGAGAAAAAAAAACACAAAATTAAAAGCGGAAGGCGATATTAGGATGGACAAATGATATTTTTAATAATACACCTACCTTTGAACATACTGACGTGTTATATATATATATATATATATATATATATATAAATAATAAATTAACTGATTTAAAATATGGTTTCTTTGCTACACAATAATAGCCATGTTTCAAATACCGAAGCTAAAAACTTCAAATTTAATTACATAATTAAATTAAAAGCATTAGTTCATTGCTGAGTCTTCTGACCCTATAGGTCTTTTTATACAAACTCATAGCGTACCGTGGAATTAATATAACTGACATTGGTTTATACAGAGACGATGGACTTATAACACCGAATTATATATATCTTACTGTTCTTTTTATTATAATTATTATGCCATTTTGAATTTGTTATTGAAGAGTGTCCAAGTAAAAAAGCCATCAAAATCTTACTGCAATTCTCAACTTCGTACCTATGTGAACTGGGATTTTCTTACCTAAACAACATTAAAAATAAAAAAAAAAACGTGAAAGACTTAAAACTATTGAAGAAGAGTTAATAGTGTGTTTCTCTCTCACATTCACCCAAATATTGCAGCAGTATTCAAGAAACTCCAGGCACAACTGTCCCACTGACATTCACCATTATTATTTTATACCCGATATTCAATACAGGATATGTTGATTTATGTGAATAAAAATTCTTATATAATATTCTTTGTTTTTTATTATTTTATTGCAAAAAGGCTTTATGAGTGGAAAATATTTATTTTTTGTGATAGGTGTGCCGCCATGTAAAAAAAAAAAAGGTTGGGAACCATTGTTATATATATATATATATATATATATATTATATATATATATATATATATAGATAGATAGATAGAGAGAGAGAACGAGAACAATTGGAATTAAGATGCCATTAGTTTATAGTATCTTAATTACAATTGAACCACGGTAGTGTAATGGATAGCAGCTCGGATTGAGGAATCGGAGAGACGAGTTCGAATTCCAGTCGAATGCATTACATTCACTTATGTGCTAATACCCTTGGGTAAGGTAAGAATCCTCTTCTCTAGTAGGGCAGACTTGAATGGCAACTGGTCTACTGCAGAAATGGCAACCTACTGCCGGGAAAAATCTGCCTCGTCAGTCATGTATCGAAAGATACATGATCGCCTAAGCGTGTATCACGCATGGCACATTACTGACTGAATTCCATTTGTAAAAAAAACTTTTGCTCTGTTTAATGAAAATAAAAACTGAGCGCTCTTTGTGAGTCAGTTTTATCATTGAACATTTCAAATTCTATATTGTGTTAATTAATAGAACTTGCTTGGATTATACCAGCGGATTACTACGTGTATATATATATATATATATAGAGAGAGAGAGAGAAAGAGAGGGGGGGGGCTTAGTCTAGTGAAATTAAACAACTGTTGAGTGCTTAGGATCACATTCATTTCTTTTATGACATCTGTTTTAAAGACGTGTGTGATCATGGCTCTCTACAACTTCATTCTGTAAGAAATACTTACCTTTTTACCACCTGTCTTTACTCAAACTTGTTCGATGGGTTCATCGCCTTTGACCTTCTACCAAAACTAACTTCACGCATGAAACTGACAGTCGCCATGCAGTGTAGATTTCTATGTCCAAACTGCTTATATCTGCAAATGTGTTATCTCCGACATTAAGTATTCTTCCAAATCCAGAAAAAAATTATATATATATATATATATATATATATATATATATATATATATATATATATATATATATATATATATATATATACACACACACACACACACTTATAATGCTTGTTAGTTATGTGGAATCATATCCACACTTTTGGAGAAATGATGCTAAATTGGACCCAAATCTAATTTATCGAAGTCTCCTGAAGAGTGGATGTGATTCGACGAAGCAGAAAAACATTTCTATTCATTCATATTCTTTATTAATAGTTTAGAAAGAACAGGCCGGTAGACGCAAATTTACACTGTTTAAAAGAATAAAAACAGGGATGTGTACTGATAGACGTGTAACCACTAAATTTGACGTTTCACGCTATGGGATTTTAAAACCAAAATAAACCACGTTTTTGGTCAAGCGTAAAAGAAAAACACTACTAAAAAGCAGGGAAAGACAAAAGAAAAAGACAGACCAAGAAAAAAAACTCAAAATAAATAATGAATACGTGAATTTAAACTTTCTACTAGATTGACATCTAGGTCCAACTCTTTTATTGTTGAAATAACTAAATGCAACCACCACTTCTGTTTTTCTCGCTTACCTGATAACTACAATCTTCAAAAAATAAACGCTACACCAATCGCCATCTTTTATCTTATTGAATCTCATTCATCTTTTGTCCTTTCCGCAATTTCCGCTATATTCAGTCTTTTCTCTTAATTTCACTCCCTGTAAACCCCTGCGTACTAGAAGCATTCTTGCATTGCTTGGGGTGAAACGATTACAAAAAAAAAAAAAAAAAAAAAAAAATTGTTTTCTGTTTTTCGGACATTATTTTCCATACAAGTCTTACATGCAGAAAAAAAGTCAAATTATGTTGGTCGAACAGCATCACCAGAAAAATGAATATTATTTCAACCAAATCTACATTGGCGAAAAATTCACAGTAGTGATATAAACTATATATATATATATATATATATATTACTCGACTCCTCCGTCGAATTCGGTCAAGCAGATCAGGAAACTGACAGCCCAACATCAGCACATGAGTTTTGTGCAGAACCATACACACTTTTTGAAAAAGACCCCAAACGCAGGTTTTGAATTCAGAGTTGTCCTTCTCCTAGACCAGTTGCCACCTAAGGCTATAGAACCCATTCTGTCCTGCTATGTACGCATAGCTGGAGGG